CAATATCGTACCCGCTAATTTCCACGTCCCATTTTTCCAATCATCCCGAGAGCTCGGGTTTGTGCATTATGTTCCTCAATGGATAAGTAGTCACGACACATATGGGATGGCATTGAAAATATGGCCTTAACTTCCTGGAGGCGCTTAGCAAAGTGAGCGCCAATTTCTCCAAGTGAGGATACCTCGTTTCGGCCTCGCCTAGAGTCTTGCTAACATAATATATAGGAAATTACGTACCTTCTTCCTCCCGAACTAAGACTCCACTTACCGTTATCTCAGATACCGCTAAGTACATGTATAACTACTCGTCCGCCTTCGAAGTATGAAGTAGAGGTTGACTCGAAAGGTACCGTTTGAGTTCTTACAAAGGTTGATGGCACTCCGGGGTCCACGAGAAATTATTATTATTCTTCAATAACGAGAAGAACCGATGGCTTTTATCGGAGGACCTTAAAATGAACCGACCCAGGGCGGCTATGCGCCCGGTTAGCCTTTGAACGACCTTGACATTGTCCACCATGGTGATGTCCTCTATGGCCTTGATCTTGTCAAGATTGATTTCGATCCCCCGGTTGGACACCATGAATCCAAGGAACTTCCCAGACCTGACCCCGAATGCGCATTTCTCCGGATTCAGCTTCATATTGTATTTCTTCAGTATGTTGAATGTTTCCTGCAAATGTTCCAAATGGTCCTCTGCTCGTTGGGACTTAACTAATATGTCGCCAATGTATACCTCCATTGATTTTCCTATTTGCTCTTCGAACATCCGATTTACTAGGCGTTGGTAAGTGACACCAACATCTTTTAGTCTGAATGGCATTACATTATAACAATAGATGTCGTATTTAGTAATGAAGGAAGTTTTTTCCTGATCGCCCGGGTCCATCCGGATTTGGTTGTACCCGGAATAGGCGTCGAGAAAGCTGAGTATCTCTTGGACGGCCGTCGTATCGATCATGCGATCGATGTTAGGTAAAGGAAAAGAGTCCTTAGGGAACACCTTGTTCAAGTCTTTGTAATCTACACACATTCTTAGTTTATTTCCCTTTTTAGGCACTACTACTACTGCTACGTTTGCTAACCAATTCGGATACTTAACTTCCCGAATGAAACCTATTTTAAGGAGTTTGGATACCTCGTCTTTAATGAATACGTGCTTGACTTCGGTCTGAGGCCCCCTCTTCTATTTAATCGGGTGGAACTTTGGATCCAAGCTTAGCTTGTGAGTGGTTATTTCTGGCAGGATCCCTGTCATATCAAGGTGGGACCAAGCGAAACAATCTATGTTAGCTATAAGGAATTCAATGAATTTCTTCCTGAGCTCGGGAGTTAGCCCCGTGCCTAAGTATACCTTCTGATCGGGGTGAGTGCTCGATCAATATGACCTGCTCCAGCTCCTCAACTGTTGACTTGGTGGCATTACAATTGTCAGGGGCTATGAACGATCTAGGGACTCCGTAATCATCATCCTCGTGTGTCTTCTGCTTTTTTGGTCCGGTCGGGGCCGGTGTCGATGATTGCTATTTGGTTCCTTCCTTGGTAGTCGAACTCGGGTTATTTGATGTCAATAGTGTAGATATCGGGGTCACCTCATCGACTGCAAAACATTTTTTTCGCGGCCGGCTGTTCACCGTAAACAGTCTTGATCCCTCCCGGTATGGGGAATTTCAATGCCTGATGTAGTGTCGAGGGTACTACCCTCATGTTGTGAATCCATGGCCTTCCGAATAGAGCATTGTATCTCATATCTCCTTCGATCATGTAGAAATTTGTTTCCTGAGCGGTTCTGGCGGTATTTACTGGTAGGGTTACCTCCCCTTTAGTCGTTTCGCATGCCATGTTAAATCCATTTAAAACTAGAACTGCAGGCAATATTTGGTCTTGCAGACCTAGCTGTTCCACGACCCTCGATCTGATGATATTGGCCGAGCTACCTAGATCAATTAACACATGCTTAACTCGAGATTTATTTATGAGTACAGATATTACAAGTGCATCATTATGTGGTTGCACGATTCCTTCAATATCTTCGTCGTTGAAAGATAAGGTTCCCTCCGGTACATAATCTCGAGTTCATTTTCCCTCGTAATGGACACCTTAGTGCACTTTAGCATCGGCTCCTAAGGGATATCAATTCCGCCAATGATCATGTTAATGACGTGCTGGGGTTACTCTTGCTCGATCTGTTTGTTGGAGTCCCTATTCCTGAAGTGATTTTGGCTCGGTCACCCAGAAATTCTCGGAGATGTCCATTATTGAATAACCAGGCTACTTCTTCTCTCAGCTATTGGCAGTCTTTGGTTCTGTGGTTGTGAGTACCATGATACTTACACATTAGGCTGGGGTCTCTTTGGGCAGGATCAGATTGCAATGGTCGAGGCCATTTAGTATCTTTGATGTGTCCAATGGCTGATACGATGCCAACAACATCGACGCTGAAGTTGTACTCCGATAACTTTGGTGACTCCTTAGACCCGATGGGTCTGTTGAAACCGGTTTTGCTCATAAGTCCCCGGTTATTATGACCTCGATCGCTTCTTCTTTCACTCCTTACAGGGTTTCGTCCGGACCCATTACCCCTTCCATATCCATTGTATGGTTGATACCGATCTCTGTTTGATCTTGGTTCATGATCGATGGTTCTTTTGGATCTGTCACTAGCTCTGACGGGATAAATGGACCCGGAAGGGGCCCCGAGCTAATCGTCTTCGACCTAATTTTTGATTGGTACCTGTTATGAACGTTGGCCCAAGTTACCGTCGGGTATTCTATCAAATTTTGTTTCAACTGCTATGAAGACAATGAGCTTTAGGGGTTGAGTCCTTGGGTAAATGCCTGAATGACTCAATCGTCCGCAACCGGAGGCAGATCCATTCGTTCCATTTGAAACCTGGACACGAAATCTCTGAGCATCTCGTTATCTCTTTGCTTTACTTTGAAAAGGTCTGACTTCATGGTCTCGACCTTGATGGCCCCAATGTGTGCTTTTACAAAGGCATATGCAAGCATAGCAAACGAGTCAATAGAATTAGGGGGCAAGTTGTGATACCATATCATAGATTCTTTTATCAAGGTCTCCCCAAACGTTTTCAGCAGGACGGACTTGATTTCGTTGTCTTCCAAGTTGTTCCCCTTGATGGCGCACGTGTTGGAGGTGACATGTTCATTTGGATAGTCGTTCCATTATACTTCAGAATTTCGGGCATACAGAACTTTTTTGGGATCGGCTTCGGAGCTGCGCTCATAGGGAAAGGTTTTTGGACAAACTTCTTGGAATCTAGGTCTTTCAGTATCGGTGGTGCTCCTAGGATTTGATCGACTCTGGAGTTATAGGTCTCCACTTTTTTGTCATTGGTTTCGATTTTCTTTTCTCCCAATTCTACCCTTTTCATCAGTTCCTCAAGCATCTTTATTATCTCGGGGTTAGTCCCGGGTTCTACTTCACCCGGCCTTTCTGTGGGCGGTTCATTTCTGCGAGCATGTTTTCGGGATGGTTCGGGCTCAACTCTACTGGAGGCATGACTTTGGTTCTGCAACTGGGCTATCGCTGCCTGTTGAGCCTGTGACATTTCGAAAATCACGTGCAAGTTGATCCCATCACCTCCGCCGTCGTGTGTACTCCGGGCTACCGACCGGGCTCCCCCGCGAATGCTATTTTCGTGGTTAGTAGGAAAGTTTGCTTCGATAGCCATATATGAATTAACATCGATCGGATCCGCGACTGGGACTCCGTTGGGGTCAACATGGGCACCTCGTTGTTGGGCACCACATTGTTGTTCTCGCCATGGTGGTCGAACTCAGCATCAACGTTCAAATGGGTAGATTAGGAGTTTTATATTTTTAATTTGACCTGAAATTAAAAGCTCAAAGAATAAGTGTAAAATAGAGTATGTTATGAAAATTTGTATCAAATCACCACTATTATCCTTAGGCCCACGGTGGGCGCCAAACTGTATACCCTAAAAAATGGATAACAATTAAATTTGTATGTGGTTTTAAGGATACGCGGATTAATTCAATACAAATGATAAGTTGCGTTAGATTAAGCAGATAAATGGCGTAATAAATTGTCAAACCAATAAAGGGGGGAGTGAACCCGGACTTAGTATATCTTTAATGAAATACCTGCCTTCGATTTCGGGCTCACAGTAATGAAGAACTGATGAATAAAAGTAAGAACTTTGAATAGCAAAGAAAGTAAGAGTACATTGCCTTGGTATGCATGTTACAATAAATTGTCTAATGAATAGTTAGACTCCCCTTTATATAGTAGGAGAATTTTTTCTAAGTACAATTCTAAGAAAGGGTAAAAATCCTTCTCCTTGCTAATCACTGATCCATTGCTGGCACGAGCCGAGATTTACGACGTGACATCCGGTTGGGCACGAATATCACAACCCTTTGTTAGTCATACTCGATTGTCTGGTAACGCTCTCTGAGGTTTAGGGATTCGAATCGGACCTGGGGGATGTGACCCCAATTCTTCCGAGGGCATATGCTTTGCTCGGACCTCGACTCGAGGGGCTCCTTGTCATGATTCTGATTCTTTACGGTCACGTCTCTGCTCCATTTGCGTCATCGAAAATCGAGATATCCAACGAGCTCGATTTCACCCGTATACATGTATAAATGAGACTTCATTCCGGCTTTTGTAACTTATGAAGGCCTTTGCAACTTATTGGCTTTGTAGTTCTACGCTCTAAATTTCAATTGTTACAATGTTTGGAATATTCTTATCTTGGAAGATATTCGATAATGCCACATGTTGTTCTTTTTATATGGATACATATAGTACATAATTTTTTCTCAATTTTCTATTAGTATGTTGGGAGCAGTATTTTTACCGTTAAAAGGGATACAAGTCGACATCTCTCATTTAAATGACACACCTATTGCCAATAGTTGTGTATTTCCTTATTTTCTCCATTTAAATTTATTTTATTTTATTTTATTTTAAGGATTGACCTACATGGGTGATCCTAATCATTCGTTCAATTCAACCGGATAGTTTTGACACGTATTGATACAGAAATTTAGCTCGAAAGTAGCTCGAAATTTAGCTCGAAAGGAGCCATTCTAAGGAGAATTTGTTTTTAGACTTTAGTTTAATTTTCAAATCTTTTTATTTCTTTTTTAGCATACTCGGAATTTGTATCTCCTCTTTTCTCTCTCAAACCTCTCTTCTCTGTATCTATCCCTTGAAATTCTCTTCTCCTCTGATCTCCTTCCCCTCTGCTTCTCATCCTTGTTCTTCGATACCAATAATTTGGTATCAATTGGTATAGAGCCAGGTTGCTCTCGGCATGTGGACTGAATAATAACAAAGCATTAGTTGAAGTTTCTACAATAGAAAACATATCGCATCAGCTGACCAAACAATGACTCTATTGGCTGAGATTCAAAGGCTTTTTCAGAAAATTAAAAGACAAATTGAGCTAAAATCTGAAGAGTCATGCAAATACTACTGCATGCCATGCTATGTTGTTTGCTCTAGTGGGAGGTACTATTGCCTAAACATGAAAATCTCTGCTTGTGTACAAAAATGGTAAGTTTAACCTCGAAACTTCTCCTTCAGGTTCCGTCCTTATAGAGAGTGCTGAAGTTGTGGAAGATATGTTCTTAAATGTACTTTTTATCGAAAACGAGAGTGATAATGATATATATGCTTTGGGAGACACATTCCTAGCTAAACATTTTGCGGAAGATGAAAGCGAGAATAATGCTTACAAGGTGCTTGGTAAAATGCCAAAGCTAGATTATAATTCTGATGAAAGTGATTTGGATGCTTTAGAAGACATGTATCTACATGCACTTTTCATTGAAACTGAGAGGATAAATAACGGTCACAAGGTTTCCAATGAAATGTCAGAAAGAGATATGAAACCGAAGTCCTTTGATAGTGGTTTTAATGGCAGAAATATCGAATTTGTTGAACATGTGTATCCTAAGGTATTCTCCACATATTTGTTGCGCACTCGATCTCAAATGTATGTTCTTATGGTTGGAAGAGATCATTGCAAGGTAGCATATGCATTCATAAGACATAAGAGCAAGTTCTCTCTTGTTTTAGTTGTAAATAGGATGATTGTTCCTGTACAGGATCCAGGAATAGGCTTGAAGACTGTGAAGTTAGATGGTTATACAAATATATTATAGAATTATTGATGGATTTTACTAACAGGTTTTGATCGTCTAATAGCACGAGTAGAGTGCATGGGATACTGGATGGCAGTAGTTAATGCATCCTTATGTCGTGTATATTAATTTTGTCTGTTCAGGTGCTATCATTCCAACATATAGCCCTGTTTTACAGTATTAACTGTAAAGGAGACCTCTCGTTGAACTTAACAGAATTTTCCATAAGGAGAGTATGTTACTTTGGGGCCCAAATTTGCAATTAACATTGCATGATGACTCTAAAGAGGGAGCCACAATTGATTTGTCTGTATACAATGATCAGTGGATGGGTGTAAAATCCATAAGGCTTCTCAAAGAAGGGGTTCAGTCATGGCTAGAAACTTGTCTACTGCTAGAGCAAAGGTTTCCTTAGACGGATATATTCTTCTCTGTAAGGAACTATATTTCAGCATCTCTACAACTCCATGAATAGTGCAGCATGGGGTTTTAAGTTACAAAGGACGTCTCTTATCCATGGATTCTAGTGGTAGTGTGAAACTATGAGATAGTATTAGAGGGACTACTAATCAACACTACAAAGAGGTTATAACTGACAAGGAGGTGGAAGAAGTACATGTTTGCAAGCTTTGGAGACTGGTTATTTGATTTTATCTTTCCTGTTGCAATGTGTTCTGGTGCTCTTAACTTCTCTGGTTCTGCCAGTCTAAGGAATGGAGCTGCGAAAGTCAGAGATATGGTGAATAATTTGCAATTCACTTTTGACCCAGGTGGTATATTTATTGGCTTGGAGAACCAAGCTATTGGGTTGCATTTTCAAAACCTGGACCACTTAAAAAATTTGCACCAGCAAACATGCAACTTCAAGGGATATGTGTCATCATTCTTCTCTACTCAATTATGGAGTCCAGCATATGGAAGCAAATTCAGCTCTAATGATGTTCATGCAATTATTATTCCTCTCTTGGTGGAGGAACGTGCACTACACCTTCTACATAATCAACTAGACAACTGTTGGTATATGCTTAGTATTAATGAAGTGGAGCGTTGTCTTCTTGCTATGAAATTGAGTTACTTGTTTGTTGTATTATCCTGAAATTCAAAGTGTTCCGCATCAATTTTCATTTGTTCCAGGCGGCTCCTTAATGAAGTTCTGTTACTTGAGTGATATATTCTAGAGCAACTTTGATGTTTCTACACCAAATGATTATATAATTGAGCTGGAAGGTATATTCATATCACCAAGAGGTGCACTTTACTGTTGAGATAACCATTAAGGAGTGGAGCATAGCTTTTAGATGGGACACATATTATCCATTCTCCTTGTTACAAGATATAACCAGAAATAATTGACTTCTGTGTGCTATGCTTGGAGAACATCTTTTGAAATTTCCTTTTGATCCTGGTGGCTCCAGTTCTACATTACCACCCTTGAGGACAAGAATGTTGTTTAACAGGGGCGTATTGATATAAAAATTAGGGACTTAGATCGAAAGTAGCTTAAGTGAGTGGGAGCCATTCTGGCGGAAAAGTTTGTTAGACTTCGATTTAATTTCCAATTCCTTTTTATTTTGTTTTTGGCATATTTCACGTGAGACTAGTTAGGAGTATAAAGCTACTACTACTACTACATTGTAATTTCATTGAGTAATGATAAATATGAATTTTTCCTCTTGTATCTCCTCTTTTCTCTCTCAATCTCTATTCTCTGTCTCTATCCCCTGAATTTCTCTTCTCCTCTGACCTCCCCCTCTTATTCTCTTCCCTGTTCTTTGATACCAATAATTTGGTATCAATCATAGATATGTAGTGAAAAATTACTAGAATTTCAATAAACTAATATTAAATTATGAATTCATAATTTCGATAAATTTTCAGATTGAAAACCTGAAGAATGCTCCAAGAGTGAAGTTGGTGGAGGAAGACAGGAGGGTTAAACTGATGACTACTTACACTCCGCAGTTTCTGGGGATACCGGCGGTATGGACGCAAGAAGGAGGAGATAGAAACATCGGGGAAGGAATTGTGATCGGCTTTGTTGATTCTGGCATTAACCCAGACCACCCCAGCTTTGCTTATGATCCCACAACTACTACTAATTATACTCCTCAACATTTTTCTGGAGCATGTGAGGAAGGTCCATTATTTCCTGAAACTTCCTGCAATGGTAAGATAGTATCTGCTAGGTTTTTCTCAGCTGGAGCTCAAGCTAATGCTATTCTTAATGCCTCTGTGGATATTCTCTCACCCTTTGATGCTGTTGGACATGGCAGGTAAAATTCATAATACTGTTTAACTTGTATTACTTTGATTTCTCTCAACTCTGGTGGTCAAACTTATCAAATTCTCCACCCATCAAGTCTTTTTAAAAAAAAGCTAAATACTTAATAAATATACGTACTTTAATATTTCCTTAGTATTTGTCTAGTATATTACTCTGTAGATTGGTCGATTGAACTTTACATGTTAATTTTGGTTAACTTAATTCAGTTGTAAGTATCAATTTTAATACTTCTCTATCGTGCTAGCAATCTGTTAATCAATCAGTAGTTCAATTTCAGGCAAAGGGTCATTTTCTAATCCCCAAAGAAATAAACCTCGTGCTACCTATGGGGCTTATGTTAACGAATTTTTAGATATAGTTTATGGAAAATAAATTAACTTTAGGAAAACATATTCCTCGAGAAAGGAAAGGAAATTTTAGTTTGAGGCGTCTAGAGTATGATTTTGTCTTCAAGTTTATGTTAGCCTATACCTTTTTATTATATTTTTGATTTTTTTCCTTTCCAGTCATGTAGCTTCAATTGCAGCTGGAAATTTTGGAGTTCCGGTGGTAGTGAATGGCTTGTACTACGGACGAGCAGCTGGAATGGCGCCGCGGGCAAGGTAGGTATATATAGACAAACATACACAAAGGCACATCAAATGATTCTGAAAGGACTATATATATATATATATATATGATGATGATGATGACAAGTGGGTCTTCACTAAAGGATTGCTATGCAATTGCTTATGACAAACAGGATTGCAGTTTATAAAGCTATTTATCCAAGCATAGGAACTCTTTCAGATGTATTAGCGGCAATTGATCAAGTAAGTATTACTTGCACTTTCCACCTGTCACTACACAATTCTCAAAGGTTGCAACCGTCACTTAGCGAGCATATATTCGGCAAAGTGAACTGGATAATTTATCATCACAACAAATCATAAGCAGTTAGTATAAGATAAAGCTTTAATATCCAAACGCACATCCATAGAAATAATAATAATAATAATAATAACAATAATAGAAGATTAGGAATCTCAAAAGGAAACCCACAAGCTAAATCAAGAAGCATTTTTTATAAATATAATAGTACAAAAGAGTTGAAGGGACATAGCCTTAAATCATATATTGCAGAAAAAAGAGGATGAAGTGTACTAGTAGCCACTTTTAAGCATGCTATTTAAAATATTTTTACAATTTACAATATATTAAGTATCATGAATTTTTGAGCTGCTAATTTTAAATTCAGGACTTAGTGTCCTAAATTTTTGAGCTGCTAATTTGAAATTCAGGATTAAGTGTCATGAATTTCTAAACTGCTAATTTGAAATTCAGGACTAAGTGTCTTAAATTTCTGAACTGCTAATTTAAAATTCGGTACATAAGATTCGAATTTCTGGACACGATTTTAGAACTTTAGGACACGATAGTTTGAACTTGAGATTTAAACTTTAGGATGATGTGTCCTAAAATTTAAGTAAATTAACTAATTTTTAAATACATTGTATATTATGGATATATTTTAAATAGCATACTTAAAAGTGGCTATTTCCACAAAAAGAAGTCCCTAGCCTTCACGGACCGAGTGGACGACCCACCTCAGCTGATTGCGTGGAAAGATCAACTAATCCTCAAAAAGTGTTAGCAACGATATCTACAAGAAGCATTGAGTTGTGAGCCATTAGGACCTAATAAAATCATCAACTCAGCCCCTTTCATGCCCTGGGGACAAGTCTTTTAACAGTTTATTGTGCATAATTATATGCAAAATAAACTTACGTCTCAGTATAAAAAGCATACACACATCCACGACATTCACACAATATCCACAGTACAAATGAAACCATAGAACTCATCACGATGCATGCATATAATATATACTAACTCATTAAGGTGCCGCTAATCCTACATGTTTTACCCGCATAGCCATAGTTTTCTAAAGGTGCAATAAAATGCCGCATGTCTTACATTCAAAGCAAATCAATGCCAAGTGCTAGGAGTGCAGGACCCTAAAATCCCCACGTCTTAAGGTAAATCTTAATATAACTGTAAAATACTATATTTAGCACTTGCTCATCCCTACACCAACTAGGCATTTAAAATTATTTCAATGCATTTATGCAACTTTTACGAAACATGTGTCTTTAGAAAAACAAGCAATCAAAAAGTTAAAATTTCACCTACTTCAAAAGCATTCAAAGCACAAAGCGTCTCTATTGAATTTCGTGTTCCTTTTCGAATCCATACAAAAATATGCAATAACGTAATCAACTACCCAATAGGACTCACTTTAATATTTTAGCGTTTAGTCAAAGTCAATGGTCAAAATTAACTCTCGGCTAAAAAGATTAAATCCTAGGACCTGATAAATTTTTGAATTAAACATAATCCAACGAGTCTAATATTGTAATTAGTTCTCAATCGGGGTTCATTTATCCATCCAATTTCGTAATTTTTCATTTGGGGCTTTTAGGGCTAAGTTCCCTATAGTTCATGCTAAGTTCCATGTTTTGGAAGCCTAAATTTGTATATAATCATGTAAAGAACTCAATAAAAGGTTTAGAATCATTACCTTAATAATTCTCAATGATCCTCCTTCAAAACCAGGTATGATCTGTGCGTTTTGTACCCCAAAAAGTGAGAAATAAAGTATGAAATTTTGGATTTACTATAACTTACATATCCAGACATTTCTCGCGATCGCGGCTATTACCCAGGCTCAATAGGGTGTCGATTACGGTAGTTGACCCAATCAACCTGTGGCAAACCCGGAAATCGAGAAGATAAAGAATACCAAATTTTAACGTGAAAAATCCTTCAAATTGAAGGTAAAAATCACGGGATCATACAGATCCAAAAAGCTTCACTATAACAGTAAGGGGGTTACAAAAGTTTTCCAAATTGAATACATAATAAATGCCAAACACGGAGCAACAATAGCAATAAAAGCAACAACAAATCAATTGAAGAAAGATGAGAAATTACAAAAACGGAGCTGTTGTTCAGGGCTCGAAATTGGATACTACAGGCCTCCGAATCCGGTCTCCACCATTCAAATCAAAGACCAAGATGTTAGGAGCACTCAGTAAAAATTTCAGCCCGATCCAACAGTGAACGAATTGAAAAACGTGATTTGGAGCTGGCTGGTCGAAATAAAATATGCAGCAAAACGAACTCTTTTTCTTCTTTCTTCTCTTATGATGGAAGCTATCTCAAAAATCACTCTTATGTGCTAAAGTCTTTCAAAGCCTGATCCTCTTCGGTCACCAAGGAGTGAAGATAACTGGCCGCGCCAACCGATCCAAACAGTACCTGGGTATCCGCAGGGATCGTAAACACGACCGTCCTCTTGCGGTCGGGGTCCACGCTCGGAGCAAGGAACTGCTTCACCAGCTTCGGGCCCAAGCTCGGCCCGCCTGCTTCCGATGGTACGTCTTTTTTCAGGATCTCCAAGTGACTGAATCCGAGGTAATCCTCCAATGCGCCCATATCCATGCCCTAAAAAAACATGTTGAGGGCCTCGTCTGCGGTCCGCGTCATCTCGTTCGGTTTCTCCTTGATGGCCTGAGCCTCGTCGAATAGAGACTCCGTGTGGGATGGCGTTCCCGTGATGTCAATGACGTCGACGGCTTCCCTCGGAGCAGGAGTAGTTTCTCGGGAGGCCGTAGCCACTGGTTTTACTTCGGGCTCCCGAGCCAAAGTTGGGTCGACCTCTCGGTCACTTCTCCCGGTCGCCACCCGCTCTTCTTCATCAATAGCCGGCCTATGGGCAATGAACTCCATATCGTCATCTTCAGGGTAGTCCCTGAGCCGGTGGAGGGAATCAGGGTCCGGTACCCCGGCCCGGGTACTCCTCTTGTTGCTCTTTCGGGCCCGGACCGCTACCCTCTTCTTCTTGGCTTCGGTGTCTGTGGAACCCGAAGACTTTCTCTTTCTTCTGTTTTTGTCCTCCTCATCCTTAGCAGCCTCAGGCTGTCCCGAAGCGGAGGGTGTATCGGGTGAAGACGAAGCCTCGTCCTCGTCCTATGCCCGGAGCTCGGTGGTCTTGGGCAAACCTACGAAAGAAAGAGAGGGATTTAGAGAAAAATAGTTGAATATGTAAGTAAGTTTGGTCAGAAAAAGTACTCACCATGGAAACGGGCCTCCCACTTGCCCTTCGAGAGCTTGCGCCATTTGCGCTCGAAATATGACATCTGCGTGCAAATCCCCTCAACCCACTCTTTGAAGCGGGGAACTGCGTTGGGAACTCGGGCAACCACTGCACGATGATAGAAACAATCAATGAAAATGAAGAACTGAAATTCACAAAAATTCTAAATACTCGAGAAAGAGAGCTACTTACGGGCTAGGTTCCACTTTTCAGGGAACGGCAGGAACTCGGAAGGAATGAGATCCTCGGTTTTCACCCAAACAAATCTCCCCTCCCAGCCTCGATCCTTATCTTCGTCAATGCTCGAGAATGGATCTTTCTTCGCCCGACGAACGAGCTTGATTAGTCCCCCTCGGAAGATTCGGGGACTGTAGAGACGAAGTAGGTGATTGATGGTGAACCGATGTGCCTCTGTGTTATTAACGAAGTGGCAGTGTTATAAATAGCGCTCGCTACAGCGCTAAAAGCGTGTAGCGATGCGAGGCGAGCGTGTGTCGCTACAGAGGGCCTGTTGCGTTGCGATTCAAAATAGCGGTCGCCTGTGCTTGTGTAGCGAGAGGCGACAGTGTGGTGAGAAGCGAGCGTAGCGTCGCTATTTTAAAAAAAGAAAAGAAAAAGGCACTTAAGTCGCAATT